AAGAGAAAGTGGAAGGGATACACAGTCACTGTGATAAAAAGAAATGATAGCACCTGAGATGTTTCAACAAACTGATTTAACTCTGGATGCACTGACTTGTCTAGGCCAAGAAACTTGAAGACACCCAGTTGGCTCACTAACTGGAAGAGAATCTTTTGTAGAGCTGAGGAATGACAAATGGGTATATCAGCAGGACCTACCAATTAATGGAATTCTATGAGAGTTGAACAGTTTATTACTATTTTTATAATCATCATTATTATTAATTTTTGTTTCTCTTATGGTCATATAGATTTCTAGCTGAAGTCTAATTTACTTCAGCATAAACAATCAGTTAGCCAATTTTTTGGATTATTTACTAGATAATATCAACTCTTACAAAGCTAGCAAAGAAATCACATTAGGAGCCTTGGAGAGAAAAGGATTAAATTGTGCCCTTCTTCCCCAACTCCTGCCCCCCACCCCCACCCCCAAAATGTATGTCAACCTGGCTAGGCCTTGTGTTTTGGCAGTTATATAATGATGCAAGTATCCCCTGATATGCTCTAATATAATTGTCTTCCTTTTGTGATGTGTTGTAAATCCTGAACTGTATTCATTAATGAGGCAGGATTAGGTCATGTGAATGAAAATTAAGTTAGGTTTGTTGTGTCAATGAGGTAGCATGAGGGTAGATGCAACCCCCTTCCTCAGGTTGAAGTCCTGAGCTGATTTAAGAGAAGCTTCCTCAAGGGTGGTCTGAGAAGTGAGCAGAGACAGAGGGTCCTACTATCATAAGAAAGAAAACTGAAAAATAGAGCACATCTTTTGAAAACTACCTAGACCCGGGGGAAGACTAATGACAAGACACACAGAGATCTCCAGGAACTTCTGGCTCACAAATGTTGAGAAAAGACAGACTGCAACAAAGCTAAAGGAGAGGCCTTGCCTTAAGAGTCGGCATTATAAATTCACACTTCTATCCTCAACTGAGGAGAGAATAAGTTTCTGTTGGTTAATACCATTCACTAGTGGCATTTCCGTTATAGCAGCACTAGGTAACTAAGACAAGTGATGTCAGCAAAGCTCAGTTTTCACAGACTCTTATCGCAATCAAAGCACCACCATCGACGTTGGCCACTGTGCTGGAAATAATGTTGTTAGTTATCTCACTATTTCCTTCCCGTCTCCTCGCTGCATTCAATAAACCCTTAACTCCAATGAGTCATAGCTATTAAGGGTCTCTCTAATTTATCTTTTTAAACACCCCATCAAGCACCATCAAGTATTTGGCCAAAGGTTTTAAAATGTGGTTCATGAGCCAAATTCACCCCACAGATGGTTTTGTCCGCCCTGCATGGTATTTTTTTTTTCTCCAATCAATATTTCCAGAACTCCCTGTTTTTCTTTTAAAAAATCAGAAGATCTGATAAAAACAGGCTGAAGGTAAGTAGTGGCAAGGCAAACACTCTTGAAGTTGGTTATCATTCTCACCTTTCCCAGGGCTTCACTCATTTCACTCCAACTTGCAGATCCTGATTTAGATCACCACCATTTATTTCCTGAACTAATGCAATGACTTCTTGACTGAGCTTTTGCCTCCAGTCTTTTTTATTTTATAATCTATTTATTTGCCTCTAGTCTGTACTCCCTCAATCCCATTTGATAATATTGACAGACTCTATTAATTTAATGTTTTCATTTTGTTCCATTTAAAATTTTTCAATAGCGTTCAACTCCCTATTATAACACACAAAGCTATTCCTGATTTGATTCCTATGTACATCTTATATTCAGTCTCAGCTAACTGCTTATATTGCTCAAAAAAATCATGTTTTCCCAAATTTCTGTACTTTTAAAAGCACTGTACTCTCTTTCTAAAATGTTCTTTCCTTCCCTGTTCAGCTAATGCCTACTTTTACTTCAAAATCAGTTCAAATGCAATTTTCTTTGGGACTGTTGGCAAATTTCCTCCTACCCACCTACCTTCTACCTCAAATGAGCCATTAGGCAGCCCCTCCATTCACCCTGCATGTATTATAGCATTGTGTTATAATTACAGCGTTTCTCATCTGTATCTTCCTATTAGCGTGCACCTCTTAAAGACAATCACTGTTAAATTTCATCTTAAAAAATAAATGAGAAAATAAAAGTATCTCCTCAGTTATGCATATGGTAATCATAGAGGAGAAAAGGAACTAGCATTTATAGAAAGCATCCTATGTCTTAAGTGCTACCAAACTAAAAGAAGATTTACGTAGTACTTTCAAGTCAATTACAGTTCACAGCCACTCTCGAGGACAAGGTAGGACTGCTCCTGTGGGCTTCTGTGTAATCCTTGACCAGAGTAGAAAACCTCGTCTTTCTTCCCACTGGTGGTTTGGAACCTTCAGCTAGGTCCTTTTCCATTATCCCTAATAATAATGACCCACTGCCATTGAGACAATTCCTACTACTCATATGGACCCTGTAGAGTAAGGTTCCTTAGACTATAAACCTTTAAGTGAGCAGGAAATATCTTTTGCCAGGGAAGCAGTTGGTGCACTTGAACCACTGACCTTGAGGGTAACAGCCTTTCCCCACTGTACCGTGAGAATTTATAATAAGTGAAATGTGGCCAAAATCTGAATTTTGGTAAGTGCTTGGGTAAATTTTAAGATAATACTTGTTTTTATTAGTTTTTCACTTTACACCTTTTCAAAAACAAACAATTTATTGTGCATTTGGTGAAAGTTGACAGAATGGTTCATCTGTTTTATATTCAATAATTCATAGACATTTTGTTTCATTTCATTCATCAGTGAAATATCACTTGTCCGACTTCCTCCTTGTGTTGCCCATTTGCATTCTTTCTTAGCCCTTCTGAACTTTGTCCTTATATAAATGCTGCCCTTTGGATCTCAAATTGCTGATTATTTTAAGGTATGTATGTATGCCTTGCAATTGTTTTTGTTCCCCTTATAGACCTGTCTATTGTGCTGAACATTGAGCCACAGGAGCGAGTTTCCCTCCTTCAAAGTTTCAAAAGTTCCACCAGTCTCCAGCTAACCAGTAAACGTGTTCTCTTATGATTTTGAGTTTTGTTCCACATTTTCCCCTCACTCTATCCAGGACTACCTTCTAATGTGATCCTTTGAAAGTAGATGGTAGTGGTATCCAGGCACCATCTAGTTCTTCCAGTCTCAGGGTCATGAAGACGGATGTTCAAATGGTCCATTAAGCAATTGAATTAGTTGCTTTCATAGATCTTCCATTTTCCTCACTCTTCTTTGCTCCAGACATGGAGAGGCCAATGGTTGCACCTTAGATGGCTGCCTATGAACTTGTAAGACCCCAGTGACTACTCACCAAAGCAGAATGTTGCCTTTGTGAACCATGTTATGCCAATTGACCTTGGGGTCACCTGAAACTATGATCCTGAGTCCCCAGGCCCAGAGACTCATTTCCTCAAGGTGTTTGATTATGTCTAAGAATTCCTCATAACTTTGCTCCCTGTATGTTCCACCACATCGTAGATATATTTACAGCAAAAGTAAATACCCATGTACAAATGTCCTCAGTCAAACCTTTGTATGTTTGTGCTTACTCCTACTCTCTCTTTCCCCAATGCTGGTTCAGCCTGCGTGTCTATTCATGTAGATTACTGTTACACAACACCTCACACCATTTTGAAGTCAAAACTAACCTTCAGATATTAATAGTTTACTTAGGAATCATATTATTAAGAGTCAATTCATTGTGTATAATTTCCGCTGATTTGAAAACCAGTGCATTCAGATACCCAGCTAAACAAAGCTTAAGGTGTGTGTGTGTGTGTGTGTGTGTGTATACACATGTATATATATATAATTTTAAAACTCACTCATTCACTGCCATTGAGTTGATTCTGACTCAGAGCTACTCTATAGGACAGAATAGAACTGCCCTTCTGTGTTTCTGAGACTAGTTCTTCACAGAAGTTGAAAGTCTCCTCTTTCTCCCAAGGAGCAGCTGGTGACTTCGAACTGCTGACTTTGTAGTTAGTAGCCCAATGTGTAACCCACTATGCTACCAAGGATCCTACAAGGGATCCTACAAGTGATTTATATATACACACACACACAGACACACACACAGTCAGTCCTACATACACATAAATAATGTAATTATACTATATGCATAGAGCACTGTACAAATATATATATACTTAACTGCATCCATCCAATAAAATATTCATATAAATAGAAGATTTATGTGTATGATTTTATAGAAACAGAAATATTACATAGGGAAGGTTCACTCAGAAATAATTTGTAGCTTTTTCTATACTTAGTAAAATAGTTAAAATTATTTCAAAAGATTGAGAAGAGCAACTTACCCTTTCTTTAAGAATTACAATTGGTGAAATTGCAGAATTCATGAAATCATAAACATCAATTTGAAATAAGTATTTCTGAAACTCGAAGACATCTTCTGTTGATTTACAAATTTTAGAAATATATGTTAGCAGTTGATATTATAGAACTTTCTAATATAATTTATCCTTTTTAGAGAAAAAATAACCTGTATCTTACCTTTGTGAGGAATGTAATTTTGAGAAGACATAGGGTTGTCAGGTGAAGACAGAGTATTTTCTACAAAACCATTGATTTCTACCTGAGTATGCCCTTCAGTCACTAATGATATTTCGGATTTTTCATCATTGTTTTTAGGAGCTGGAGTTTTGGAATGTACTTCTTCATGGAGTCTCATAAAGTGCATATCTACAAACAAATAAAAAGAAATGTTTATTATATTTTTGATACTTGCTTTGTTGGGGTTTCACTTTTGTTTTCTAGGCAAATCTTTCTTTGAATCTCTATGGTCTTTGTGAGACTTCCCTAGGAAACAAAAATTGTAGCCTAAATTAGTTTCCTTTGCTGATGTAATAAATTACTCCAAACCTAGTTGCTTAAGCAAAGCAAATATATCCTCTTGTAGTTGTAGAGTCAAAATCCTAAAATCAAAATATTGGCAGGGTTTTGTTCCTGAGAAACCCCATTTTCTTGCCTTTTTTATTTTCCAGAGGCCATCTGATTCCTCTGCTCATGCCCGCATCCCCCCATCTTCAACTCCAAACTCACAGCCAGCCAGTCAATGCTTACACATAGTGACCCTCTGTGAGTTTGTGAGACTTTTAACTGTTTACAGAAGTAGAAACCCAGTCTTGGCTTTGAACTGCCGACCATGCAGATCTCAGCCAACACATATCTACTACACCACCAGCCTCCTTGCCCATCTTCAAAGTCCGTAGCATAGTAACTTCTAATCTTAGTCACTTATCCTGACTCCCCTGTCTTCCTCTGATAAGAAAATGTATAGTTATATCTGTTGGGCCTACCAAGAAATTCCAGGATAAAGCTTTCATCTCAAGCTCTTTCATCACATTTGCAGTGTCCTTTTTTGGCCCCGTAAAGTAGCATATTCATAGGTTCTGGGGATTAGGACACTGATACATTTGATGGGGAGAGGAGAGGACATTTCAGCCTATCAAATAACCTTGACCTTATTTCTTGCCCAAGGAAAAAATCAAAATCTGTGTATATAGTTCTACTCTATACATTACCTTTTGTCCTAAAAAATATTTTTTAAAATTTGAAACTGTCGACATAAAGCATTGCTACAGTTAATTAAAATATTAACTATTAACTCTATTATACTACATAAACTTATGATTAACAAGAACATAATGATTAGATCATCATGAGATTTCATCTCTGTTCATAGATTTCATCTATACATTCATTATCAGAGGGTATAATATCTAAATGTGATAAAAAATATATATATTCTTACCTATCAAGATCAGTGAGAGATGTTTTTCTTACTTTACATATTGCAGAACCAAAAAGAATCAATATAACCATAATTTTTATAATATCTACAGCCAGTATGCTATTGATAAATAATTATATTTACTAAATAGAGCACACTTGGCTAGTCGCATACAGATATTAAAATTTACTGTCAATAACTGTTAAAGTCCTAAGCCTAATACACTGAATCATTCATATCTATAATATATTTTTCCAAATATGACTATTAATCATTCAAATAATCACTCAAATTTTAATGGGACTGTTTCAAAGGTGGAAGAACTTCCCACTGTTAAATAAACTATATTATTTCTATATTCTATTTGCATAGGAACTACATTCCTATTTTCCATTGTATAGTTATATAACTACATAACTGTATCCATTTGCATAGGAAGATGCCAACAGTCTTAGAATAAATGAAATTACATTGAAAGTGAGAAACTGCCAATCAAATGTCAAGCATTGTTGAGCTTACCCTACCCTTCAGGGCTCCTGCTTCATGTCATGTGCAGAATCTTATATGATTGTATTACCTTTCCAGGAGAGGATCCCTGGAGGCATAGTCATTACATGTTGGGCTGATAACTGGAAGATCAGAAGTTTGAAACCAACAGCTGCTCCACAAGAGAAAAAGGAGACTCTCTATTCCCATAAAGACTTACAGTTTTGGAAACTCCCAGGGGCAGTGTTCTACCTGTCCATCCTATAAGGTCTCTGTGAGTCAACACCAGCTCATTAGCAGTGAGTTTTTTAAATTATTGTACAGGGAGTCTATTAAGAGAATAAATGAATAGAGACTTTTTTCATAATTAAATGATTTGATAAAGTGAACATTTTGAAAGGAGATGTCATTTATAGGAATTCTTATTATTTACTATTTACAGGATATTTTTTATTTAAAGCACAGTATTCTATTTTCTAATTTTGCCAATGGCTCACATGCTTGGAGAGGAAACAAAAGGTCGGAGTTCCAAGGCCCAGAAAAGATCTCAGTACTTTAAACATATCAAGCACTGAAAACCACGCAGAACTCCTCTCAGATCAAATGTCACATTATTCCCCTGAGAATATGATCGTTATTTTAGTGGGAAAAACTGCTGCCATCGAGTCAATTCTTACTCATAGCGACCAGCTAACTAAGCAGAGGAAAACTGTCCCTTTGAATTTCGGAGGCTGTCAATCTTTCCAGAGCAGAAAGCCTCATCTTTCACCCAATAGTGCCTGGTGATTTTGAACTCTTTACCTTTCAGAAAGCAGACCAACACATAATCCACTAGATATCTAATTTTATATCTCAACGAAAGAAAGCCAATGCAGTCTCTTAAAAAAAACCTTGTATGCTACATGAATGTTAAATAAGTAAACTTAACTCAAAATTTGAAAGAATAATATTGTAGACTTCTTTTGAATTTAATGTAAAAATGATTATTGTCCAAGGTTAATAAAAATATATGTCAAAAATAGCCATATTGGTAATAGTGCGTCCTATATTTATGTCTGTGCAAAAACCGCCATCAGTTTCTTTGAAAACAATTTAAACTGGTAACTTGATTGACTGTTCGAGTAGCACTTAAAAGTTTTTTAAAAAATTAGTTCTAGCTAGTCCTAGCCTAAAGTACAAATAAATACAATAGCTAAGAAAGCCATAGTTGCTACTTCAGAAGGACTCCTGTTCCAGACTAGGCTAGAAAAGTACACCAAGTGAATTATTCAATGTCTAATTTTGTTCTCTGAGTTTCTGATTCTTAACAAAACACTTTGATGGTGCCACTCATTTAGCATTGCTTAAAAATGAAAGTCCTAACTGAGCCAACACATGTTGTTAACTTAGTAATGCCACGTATAGACATTAGAATTAAGAGTGAGCAATCAAATCAGATGTCTTAATAGAATGGGTTTATTGTAAATAGAGGGATTAAGTGGTGCTTTACAATAAATGTTTAATGCCACTGAGGAAAAAAGAGGCCTATTAAATATTGAATTATACTCTACATTGTATTTGGCTATGTTGATTTTTTTATCATGCTGGTCATTTTAAAACATAGTTTCAAGCCTCATTTGAAAGAAATATATATGATATGTCCAAAAGTATTGCTACTAAGGTTCCAATCTATACATGCACAGGTTTATTACAAATAAAACAAGTGTAAACATATCTGTTATCTCAGTAATGGTGTCTTCAGCTTGTCAGGGTGCTTTCACAAAAACCCTCTCAAGACTGGTTTGGGAGAAGATCTACTGGGCCAGATCTACTGGGCCAGTTACATTGAAAGCCTCAAGGCAGAGAGGTCAGCTCGGAAGATTATTATTGGTTGTTGTTGTTGCTGCTGTTAGGTGCCATCGAGTCGGTTCTGACTCATAGGAACCCTATCCTGTGCCATCCTCACAATTGTTCCTGTGCTTGAGCCTATCGTTCCAGCTACTGTATCAATCCATTCCATTGAAGGCTTGCCTCTTTCTAGCTGCCCCTTAACTTTACCAAGCATGATGTCCTTCTCCAGGGACTGGTCTCTCCTGACATGTCCAAAATAAGTAAGAGAAGTCTCACCATCCTTGTCTCTAGGAGGCACTATGGCTTTACTTCTTCCAAGACAGATTTGTTGGTCCTTTTGGCAGTCCATGATACTTTTCAATATTCTTCACCAGCACCACAATTCTGACACCTCAATTCTTCTTCTGTCTTCCTTATTCAATGTCCAACTTTTACATACCTATGAGATTGTGCAGAAGTTATGGAGACTGTTTATAGGATTCCTAAGGGATAATCTTGACAGATCTTGTCAAAAGACCCAGGACAAAACAGGTCTTATGAGAAAGAAGTTGGATTTTGTTGTTGTTGTTTTTAGAAAGAAGTTTCGCAAACATTGAAAACTGCATTGGTGAGAAAAAGGCAAGAAAAGTTGACTGAGGAATGTTTTCCTATCACTGCAATGCACTGTTCATTCCTCGAATATAGTAAGGTTTATCCTACAAAAATGTCATTGGGAAACCTTACCCTGTCTATCCTACCACCTTGATCTTGCCCTTCAGAGATCTTTTTTGTCCCCAAACTTAAAGAATATTTCAGAGAAATATGATTTGAGTCCCTCAACAATGCGGAAACTGCTGTTTAAACATGCTGTAAATTGAAGATCACAGAACTCCTCAGGGAAGGATTAAAGAGATGGAAACACTGCCTTTAGAAGAGGATAGATACTCGGGGAGGAGATGAGCCAGTCAGGGTGCGATGTAACAACGATGAACAATACAACTTTCCTCTAGTTCCTAAATGTTTCTCCCTGCTCCCACTACCATGACTCGAATTCAACCTTGCAAGTCTGGCTAGACCAGAGGATGTACACTGGTACAGATAGGAACTGAAAATACAGGAAATCCAGGGCGGATGAGCCCTACAGGACCAGTGGTGTGAGTGGAGAAACAGGGAGAGTGGGTAGGAAAGAGGGAACCAATTAAAAGGAACTATATGTGACCTCCTCCCTGGGGGACAGACAACCAAAAGGGGTGAAGGGAGATGTCGGACAGGGCAAGATATGACAAAATACCAATTTATAAACTATCAAGGGCTCATGAGGGAGTAGGGAGCGGGGCGGGAGGGGAAAAATGAGGACCTAATGCCGGGGGTTTAAGTGGAGAGAAAATGTTTTGAGAATGATGTACAAATGCGCTTTACACAATTGATGTGTGTATGGATTGCAATAACAGTTGTATGAGCCCATAATAAAAGGTTTTAAAAAAAAAGAAGTGGATAGATAGACCTACAGCTTTGCTGTAATCTAATCCATCCAGCTTTTCCTCTATAGGCTACAGTCTAGATCCTCTAGACCCAGGCAAAAATGATTGTGTTTTATGGAGGATTCCTATCAAGCCCGCAGGGGTTAAACACTTCGCCAAGCATGATGTCCTCTTCAGGGACTTTCGTCCCCTGATAACATGTCCAAAGTCCGAGAATCACAGTTGTGTCATCCTTGCTTCTAGAGAGCATTCTGGCTGTACTTCTTCCAAGACAGATCTGTTTGTTCTTTTGGCAGTCCGTGGAGTTCAGTATTCTTTCAGCAGTTCACTATTCTTCACTAGTACCATAAGTCACATGTATGAATTTCTCTTCAATCTTCCTTATTCAATGTGCAACTCTTACATGATTATAAGACAACTGAAAATAGTATGGTTTGGGTCAGGCACAACGTAGACCTAAAAATAACATCCTGCTTTCAGTATTTTAAAGATGTCTTGTACAGATTTACACAATGCAACGTGTCATTTGGTCTCTTGTCTCAAGAAATACAGGTATCTCATGTCTCAACTCTTCACAAGCATTGACTCAAGTTTTGTGATCTCATTTTTTGTTCACTATTTCTAAGTAAGATATGTGGGGTTTTTGTTTGTTTGCTTGGTAAGGTGTGCTTTTACTTGTTATTTCCTTTTTTTAAGTTACTGAAATTAACTGAAATTTACAATTTTTTTAGCTGTTTCATCCATCCCCAAATAATAGGGCATACACCATTATCTAATGCTCTCATTTAGAATTCTTTTTTAGTTACATCAAATTTCTGCATGATCAGGTTACTTTTCATTTAATTAATGTTGTGTTTTTGTATGTTTTTTTTAAATAATCCACATGTCTTTTTTTCTGGAACTTATTTCTGAATGTGTTCACAGAAGTCTTTTAAAACTAGTTTAATTGTACAAACACCTTATTCTCATTTGACCATTCACCAAGTGTTTCATGTTTAGAAGTTCTCTCAGAATCATTGCATGAAAAGTTCTAAAGAAAATTTACTCAACAATTTTTAGGATATCCTGGAATTTCTGTGAATATATGCTAAAATATTTCTATGTGTCAAACTTATAAATCTTCTATATTTCTCGAACTAACTTTATTTTATTTTAGTCTCTTTTAATTCTAATTGCTCTGACCTTTTTATATGTATTCTTGGGGATAAAATATTTACATCAATAGAATTTCCTTTGTAATTAGCCATTGACAAGTAGGATCTCTAACTTTTTAAATCATGAAATACATCATTCTTATAACTTTCTCATTTAGAAAAAGATTAGAATCTAAATATTTATGTTTTGGTAGAGAATGCTGGCAAGTAGAGGGCTTACAATTTTTAAACTATTATGGAATAGCATTGTTTCTATGGAAGCTCAGGAAAATCAACAGATTCTAATGAAATAGTATTTCCTTTGAGTTCTCAACATTTTGCTCTCTTCTTATAAAAGGTTTTCCGGTTATTTCTGAGCTCAGTGGTATTATCATCCAAATATGCTGAGTATATGATCTGTCCATGATACAGACATCATAGAGACAATGTAGATTTGGGAAAGTCAGATTACAGAATTCTTTACTTAAAATGCAATCTATGTGAAAAACAAAAACAAACAAAAAACACAATCGTTATGTTTCTATTCATAGGAGTTGCTGGATATCCAGTGGTTCTCTGCAGTTTTCTAAATAGAAACTCCATTATGTCCTGTTTTAATCTGTTTTAGCTGGTGATTCCTAATCTGGTTAATGAGTATTTTTAGCTAATTTACACCTTTCCAAAATAATTATTAAGCTAGAGGAAACTATAGTAATTCAGTAAATCTAGATACCTGGATATCTAGATCTAGAAATATCCTTCGATGCTTTGCTCTCATACCCTCTGTTGAGCTCCAGTATTGTGAAATTTGATGGGGAAAGTTGAAAACATTTTAGTTTTTTGCTTGAGTTTTCTTATTATCCTGTATACATAGGGAAAGCCCTTATTATCATAGTTGTTCTTCAGGGGAGAAAAAAAATTATAGACCTCAAAATAAAATATAATTAGAAATCTAGACTATTCTGAATTACTATAGTTTCCGCTAGCTTAATAATTATTTTGGAAAGGTGTAAATTAGCTAAAAATACTCATTAACCAGATTAGGAATCACCATCTAAAACAGATTAACTAAAACAGGACATAATGGAGTTTCTATTTAGAAAACTGCAGAGAACCACTAAGAGGAAATGGCTTTAAAACGACAGAAAGAAAGGACATTGTCTCTGGACTGGAGGTCAGAGTAAAAGCAAAAATGACAGAAAATGCTTTGGGGAAAAATATGCCTAAGCACTATTTAAATTTTAACTTATTTACATATAATACTTAGATTACATTTTAAATTATTTTTAAATATACTGCGATCTTCTTGGAACATCAGTTACTTCTATAATAATTTTTTTCTCTTTGAAATTTTATCTTAAATATTAATGTGTAAGTCCTAAAATAAAACAGAAATTTGTTTTATGTCTGGTTAATAAGACTGTTATTTTTTTTTTAATATTTTAAGGAACACAGGGTTCAGATTGTACTTTTTGGGGTAAACTATGTGTAAAAGCCAAATGAATTATGTAATAGATGTATTCATATTAACTTTACTTACTGCATCTGCTTTTAAACATCACAACTTTCATATTACCTGTGGGGTAATTTTCGGCTGAAAAGTCTTCTGTTTCATCATTTTCAATGATATTATCTTCATCCAGTATCAGTTTGGGATATGATAATTCTGTTTCCTTAGGAATGTTCTGGAATTTCCAAGGATTATCAAAGTTATATAAGAACTTTTTAAAATATGGTAAGGTATCAGAATCATCTGTATCTCTCAAGACTCTTTTCTTGTCTGTTTGATCTTCAGTTTCCATAACTTTTATTAGTTCTGTTTCTTCTTCCTTATCAGAGCCAAATTTGCTTACTGGATGATGCTCATGTTTATCGCTTCTGCCTCCTTCATTGTTTCTATCATCAGGCATAGTTTTATCTTCACTGGCATATGCAAAGCCTAGCATACCAAAACCAAAATCAAACCAATTTGAGTTGAGACTCGAGCTATTACTAGTAGTTGAGTCTTCTTTTTCTACTAGCGTTTCTGTACATGGCACTGTGGGTTCTTCATCAGATGAGAGGGGATTGGGAACATCTTGAAGTGGTGGATTGCTTTCTTTGGACAGTAATTCAAGCTCCGTATCGTCATCTCCAAAACCTAAGTAACTTGTAAATCTACCACCAAACCATCCAGTGGCTTGAGGTTTGAGAATGTGCTCCTCAGACTCGGATGCTAGGTCAGACCATTTCTTTGGCAATGAATCAGATTCTGTATTAGGTTCTTGCTTATACTCTATTTGAGGCTCATCATTATTTAATTCTTCGAGGTACTTCTCATCTACCACTGCTATTTTCCTACTTCGAAATGAGTTATCTTGCAGAGGTGCAATCATTGGTTCAATGGCCTTCCCTTCAGCTTGTTCTCTTCTTGCTCCAAACCAGCCTCTCACGTCAGGCACAGATGCGGATGGCGGGACAAGATCCACTTCTGGAATCTGATCTTGTTCTTCTTCTGTGATGGGATCATGTTCCACTGTTTCAGCTTCTATTTCTTCCCAAAATGTTGATTCACTTGTGCTTCCGATATCATCTAGAGGCCCTGTGGCTAGAACTTGGTCTTCTAACAAAGTACTTTCAGAAGTTGAATAAAATTCAGATTTTATCTGAAAGTCACTTTCATGCTCTTGAAAATTGTCTTCATCTTCTTCATATGGAAATATGGTTTCATCATAATCACTGTTTAATTCACTGTCTTCATTTTCAAAAATGTAGCTTAATCCAAAAAGACAAAGAAAGTCAGATTCCTAAAATAAAAGAAACATTATGATTGACATCAACAAAAGCCAAATTCTCAGGCATCAAAGAACAAAACATATCATTGTGAAGTGTGGAGTGGGGACCCAAAGCCCATCTGTAGGCTAGTGGACATCCCCTTATAGAAGAGTCGTGGGAAGGAGATGAGCCAGTCAGAATGCAGGGTAGCAATGATGAAACATACAACTTTCCTCTAGTTCCTAAATGCTTTCCCCTAGCCCCCACCCCTACCAATTCTACCTTACAAATCTGGCTAGACCAGAGGATGTACACTGGTACACATAGGAACTGGAAACACAGGGAATCCAGGACAGATGATCCCTTCAGGACCAGTGGTGAGAGTGGTGATACTGGGTGAGTGGAGGGAAGGTGGGATGGAAAAGGGGAATCGATTACAAGGATCTACATATAACCTCCTTCCTGGGGGACGGACAACAGAAAAACAGGTGAAGGGAAACGATGGACAGTGTAAGACATGACAAAATAATCATAATTTATAATTTATCAAGGGTACGTGAGGGAGAGGGGGCGGGGAATGATGGGGAGCGTGGAGGGAGGGGGAAATGAGGAGCTGATACCAAGAGCTCAAGTAGAAAGCAAATGTTTTGAGAATGATGATGGCAACAAATGTGGTTGACCACAGTGGATGTATGTATGTATTGTGATAAGAGTTGTACGAGCCCGCAATAAAATGATTTTTTTTTAAAAGCCAAACTCACTGCCATTAAGTTGATTGTGACTCAAAGCAACCCTTTAAGACAGGTTAGAACTGCCTCTGGGTTTCCTAGGTGGTAACTCTTTACAGGAGTAGAAAGCCTCATCTTTCTCTCATTGATAAACAATGAGATAGATGTATTAAAATGCCTTGTTTCTTCTAAATAATATGAAATGAATTATTGAGATTTTCTTAAAACAACAGGACTAGTTCAGTAGCAGAGCAAAATCTGAAATCCCTTTTTTCAATCTCACTTATATTGCAACTGATTTCTAAGGCTTCATGATATAAACCTAAATTTAATTTTTTTCACATATGGCTTCTTTAGTAGATAGGCGAAGAATTTGAGAAGCAGAGACAATCAATGTTTTGAGTCTATTCCACAAATAAATTTTAATGAAAATGTCCACAAAACCTTATTATCCCGAAGTGTGTACTGAGTAGACACATTCATTTGTGGGATCGTTCAGGAGGGTTATTTCGGAGTAATGTGAAGGCTGAATGCCTTGTCAGCTCACACGGAGCTGAGGCTTTGGTGGCATGAAGATCTCACTGGAATGCCACTATCATATTGGGACTCTTTTTATTGAGGTCTTGCATATAACCAATGGAGGAGAGGCATCCACTTGCTCATCTCACTGGACAGCCAAATCAGGAACAAAAGTGGTGAGGGTTTTTTTCTTTTTTAACTTAAGATTAGAAACAATGATGTTTACTGCACTTTGGATATCATCAGTATAAAATAAGAATAAAGATCATATTTTAAAAACTAACTTCAGAACTGCACTTTTACAATATACTTTTGACACTTCAATATAATGACTGAGTAAGAACAAATTCTGGAATCAAATCCTTTGGGCTCAAATCTCAACCCTGCTATGTACTGGTCCTGTGACCCTGGGTGAGTGATGTGACTTGTCTGTGCCTGAGTGTCCTCATCTCTGAACTGGAAACAATGACAGTACCTATTTCATAAGGGTCTTGTGAGGATTCAATTAGTCAAGTACTTAGAATAGTAACTATCTCTCATCTAGCCCAAGGATCAGGGTGGTATAATGGGTTATGTCTTGTGTGCTCCTCAGAGAAAGATGGGATTTCCGCTCCTATACAGATTTACAGTCTCCGAATCCCAAAATGTCAGTTTTACCCTGAACCATAGGGTTTCTATGAGTTCAGTCCCAGGTATATCTCCTCGGATGCATCCAGTAATGCTGGGACATAAAGGCCCAATTATCTTGCCTCGTTCCAGATAATTCTGAAAGGTGATCCGTACTTCAGAGCTCCTTGTGAGACTGGCTGCAACTGCAACACAGTTGACCTTATCTGTCTGCCTAACCCTCCTTGTTGTTGTTTGTGTCCTCGCAGGGGCTATCCCCAGGAGTGCTTTCCAGTAAACTTTGAATGCAAAGAGCCATCTCAGAATCTGTGTCCCAGGAAGCCTGAGCAACAGATCTGGCACTTCAGCATGCTTACTTTGTATCTGGTGCTGCACTAGGAGTCCACAGTAAATAAAAAAACAACGTATAAATTGTTTTTAAAATAATTATAAATTGTGTAAATGCTAGGAATAAATACCCAGAAGTCACTCCATAAGGAAATGGTGTGGCTGTCTACATTCATAAAGATTTGCAAGCCTTGAAAATCCTATGGGGCTGTTATACTGTATGCTATAGGGTTGCCATTAAGATAACTCAACTTGTGGGAAGTGGGTTTGACACTGGCATGGAGTAAATAAACACGGAACCGTGAGAGATAAATAATCTTTACTCTAGAATCATCATGGCAGCTTTCTGAGATACTGATAGTTACACCATAATCGAAAGGAAAAGAAGGAACGAGCCGATGGGAGAACTTGGAGAAAATATGCCGGCTAGAGGGAACAGCCTGTTTGAGACTCCGGACTATAAAAGAGCTTGCAAATTCTTGGAACGGTCTAAAAGCCAGTGTGACTGCGAGTGTAGTGAATAGGTCAGCAAGGGGAGGGGAACCAGATCACGTGGGGCTTAGGAGGTGGGGTGAGGAGTCTGAGTTTTAACTGAGGGAAGGACATGATTGGACTTTTGTGTATGTTCGTACAAGATGTGTGCTGCCTGCAGAATGGATTAGAAGAGGGCAATGCAGAGGCAAGGAGACCAGTAAGAAGGTTACCGTGGTCCCCTAATCAGGAGATGATGGCGCCTTGCATTGGGGCTCCCGTGAGAGTGCAGATGGAGAGAAAACAATATACTCCAGATATCTTTTTGGAGATGGACGTGGCAGGGCCAACCACCACACAGTAAATAAGTGGTTGATCCCAGAGTTTGTGTTGGAAAAAAAACAGATAAAAGTTTGTGCAACTACACAGAATTACTTAAATGACCCTGACCTCGTTTAAGGTAAACTGGCTTAATCTGGAATCTGAATTAAATAGGTTAATCAAGTTCACGTGCTGAAAAGCCCTTCCTGAGGCCTCTTTTCGCGATCAAATCTAATATCAACAAGCTCAACAGTTTCACTATTAAATCTAACCTTAACAAGCTTAACATGATCGAGCTCATTCAAAACCCAAACAGCAAAAATACTGAGGGAATACCAGAACCAAAACAAAGTAAAAACCCCTTTGCGCCATCGAGTCAATGCTGACTCATAGCGACCCTCCGTGGGTTTCCGAGACTGTTGACTGTTTTAAGGGCATTTACTAGTATGCCTAGTCTTTCTCCCGCGGAGCCGCTGGTTGTAGCCAACTCACAACCATGCCGATTTCATCCCAGTTCGTAACCACCGGCAGAAAATGAAATGTGGTACGAGTGAGAACTATTCGTGATAATATCTAACACAGTGGGTTACGTGTTGGGCTGTTAACTACCAGGTCAGCAGTTTGGCATTACCAGCCACCCCATGGGAAACAAGTGAGGCTTTCTCCTTCTGGAGAGGTACAGCCCCGGCACCCCCAGGGGCAGTTCTATCCTGTACGAGAGGGCCACTATGAATCAGAATCCATTTGATGGCAGTGAGTTTGGTATTTGGGAAATGCGGTTCATTCCTCAATAAATTTATGAGGCATCGCTACATTATGATCATCACTATCAGTTTGCAGATGAGGAAACTGAGCCATACAAGACCATATAACTTATAAGTGGCTGAGGCAGGCCTTGAACTCAGTCCAATTCCAAAATCCAAGCTTGTATGTGTTACACTGTGTTGTCTATTAATCATTCGGGATAAACATCTTTGCCTGTCACCAAATTTGTCTAACCCAATAAATTTTAAGATCAAATAATAACCAGGAATGACTTGGTCTACTTACTTTAGTTGATACTTGAACTTCCTCAGATATGAACACCTCTTCAACCTGGACAGCATCTTTGGGGAAATACCCAAAGTCCTTTCCTTTCTATCAAAATGAAGAAGAAAGATTATCAACAACCAGTCATCAAAACTAAATGACTTTTGAGTCTAATACTTGTCCCATGTTCTTAGTTTTCATTTATTTCAAATTGCAGATTGGCTTTCAATTGCCCTCAAAAAGAAAGTGAGTGAAGTTATATTCCTTTTTTAATCATTTTATTGGCGGCTCTGATAGCTCTTAAAACAATTCATACATCAATTGTATCAAGCACAAAGGTGTACATATATTGCCATCATCATTTTCAAAATCTTTTCTTTCTACTTGAGCCCTTCATATCAGCTCCTCTTTTTTCTCTCCCTTCCCCACCCTCGTGAACTCTTGATAAATTATATATTATTGTTTTGTTTTCATGTCTTACACTGTTCCCTGTCTCCCTTCACCCACGTTTCTGTTATTTGTCCCCCTGGGGGTGGATCACTGCGGATCGGCTCCCCTTTCTCCACCCTTTCCCCCTACCTTCCCTCTACCCTCATGGTATTGCTACTCCCATTACTGTTTCTGAGGGGTTTATCTGTTGTGGCTTTCTCTTGCCTACAAAAAGAAAGTGAATGAAGTTATATTTCTTTTGTTATTCAAAACGACAACATTAAGTTAGGGGAACAAGGAGTCAAACTCTAAAATTCTGCTTTTATAAACTTCAGAAGAAAAAAATCTTTGTGCATACTCAGTTTCTTCCTTTTTACTGTCTTTTAGTGACTTTCCTTGATCAAAGATTGCCACTGTTGGACATTGAAAGACAAAGCAATGGCGGCAGCACCTAAGCCAAAGGAAGTCATCTTATGCTCAGTGTTTTCAGGGTGTCAAGGTCAGGGAAAAGCCTGAAGCTGTAACTAGGCCACAGATGGATTGATCAGGATGGTAAAGGTTCGTGAGCCCTTCAGGGAGAATTTAGCTCCATTCAACAATGGTAACAGAAAATCATCCATTTAAGTACCTGTCCTCCAAGACTTCATGCAGGCACTCCCAGCCCATTTCCTATCCCCATGGTAATTTAAAGAACAGATGACAATGATCCTTTGGTCCCAAATCATTATACTTCAATTGTGTTTCTTAGAGCTCCCCAGTTGCTGCACCTGTTTGAAAACAGCCTGTAGGTGGGTTCAACAGGATGGTTCCTCTCTGCATGGACTACATAGCCCATGCTTCCAAATAGGATGTCTGAAACTTTGCTGGGGCTCCACACTTTAAACACTGCTTTTGTGTAGAATGATAATTTTCATACAGCGTCAACAAGGAAGAAGGTTGTCATTGCTTCAAACGGGCAGCAGTGATCAGAGGCCCCACAATTCTAAAGGGGGGGGGGGAGGAAATAGGCTCCAAAGAGAATTTGCTCCTTCAGTGACCACAGAGCTGTGATGTGCATTTGCAATATGGAATGATGTATCAGTTTAGTCACGCTTGCTCAGCTTGGGAGTAATATTGTTTATCACAGTATCTTGTTATTAAAATGCATAATGGTACAATTAAAGATACAAGCCTATTTCTAATAGGAACCATTAATCATTAATTTTCCCATGTTAAATATTCAGATGATTCAAACTGTTAGGAATTTCAACATACTATGACTTTGGGCTAAATAAAAGGCTTTCCCATTTGTTGGGTTTTTTGCTGTACTTTCCAATGAAAGATTCATACACAAGCTACTGACCTTTCTGAGAATCACTTTAATAACCACTCAGCCCTTGATTTTCTCAGAAAGATAGGTCATTTAGCCCAATTACCTAAAATTTTCCAATCTTTCCAATTTTTTTTTTTAACACTGGCAGCACAAAGGAATGGTTGAGTTTTCGTATGTTGTTGTTGCTTGATGCCACCAAGTTGGTTCCTATGAGTCAATTTCAAATTACAGTAACCCTGGGCACAACAGAAGGAAACACTGCCTGATACATGAAACTTAATTTCAAGGTCATTTTCTTAGTCCTCCACTTAGGGCAAGCGGCTTCCCTAAATGCCCGTACTAAAGAAATTCTGGAGCTACCACTGAACGTGACCAGTTTGTTAATTTGGTTTTTTTTCCTGAACATTTTAAGGTTTTTAAATATTAGATTTTCAAATGTTTTCAAATTATTAGATTAAGTTCCTTTAGATAGAAAAGCAGATCATGGTTTATTCTGCATGCAGTTTTTAAGACTGGATACTTACACTTCCTGCCCACAAGTCTTCCCGTCCTCCTGCAAGTTTGACATAAACAGATATCTCTTCTCCCTTCGTGAAGTTCAGGTACCGACAGTCAGGTCCTCTGTAGTCTCTTGTAGCTAAGACTCTGCTTATTAAAGCTACATAAACGAGTTAAAAAAACATGCTTTAAAAGGTCATTTCTAAAAAAAAAAAAAAATAAATAAAAGGTCATTTCTCTTCCTTTAATCTTTAGTTCCTTCAGTCTATCCGATGTATTTCCAAATGTGATTTTCCTGATATCTTTTATGGCCTTTAAATCCTGCATAGACTCCCCACCACACAGAATCAAGTCTAAGCTCCCTGGCCTGCTTTCAAAGGCTGACCATGGCCCAGCTCTATCTTCCCTGTCTAAGACCTCTTCTTAGTTCTTTACACAGCTCAGGGTACAACCTGGCTCCTTTGTCTACCAGTCCTAGAATATGCTGTTATCGTTCTCTACTTTGTATAGAAGCGAAGGGAAATAGGATTACTTTGCTTCTTGGTACCTATTATATTCTGATAAATTCTTACACCTTCAACAATCCTAGGTCCTCAAATGAAACCAGTAAGGTAAAGAAACTCATTTTAGTGTAACGAATAAGCCTTTAAGCTAAGACTTGGAGTTGTTTACACAGTTGATGAATAAACCTACTCCACACTCACCAATAACATCTCACATCTACAACAACTTTGAAAATATTCTCAAATGGTGCCTCTGATGGTCTGCAACCCACACAGGGCCAGCATGGTGCTGGGGTGCCCCTCGTGAACCCTGTTCACGAGGCCATACCAGCAACAATGGCTCACCACTCACTCACGGTTCTCCTGAGATGTCTTGGTATGGCCGCAGAGGGCTCAAGGCCACAGCTGGATGAAGTGAAGGTATGTGGGCTGGAGAGACCAGGAAAGGGCCCAGAGAAGCCTGGTGGAAATTCACTAGTGGGGCAGAAAAACTAGACAAGGGCAGGGGACACATAGAGCTTCAGGGCCTGGGGGAATAAAGAACAAATGGGGTCCCCTGCCCACGGTGGGTGCCAGGAATTGGCAGATATCACAATGCCCCACCACCACCTTCATTACCCCCAAGACTCCATAGTTGTGTGGAAGGGGACCCACCATGCCACATGAATCCAAAGAGGCACCCAGGGTTCAGGGCTCGTGGTGAAGGAGGGAGGGGCACACTGATACAGATGGCAGGTGTGGCCCCTGGCTCTCGAGGAATGGGCGTAGTGCAGGCAGATTTTCACTGAGATTCTTTCTGCTACAACATACATTTTCCTTATTTGGGGGACGTATTTCTGCTCTTTCCAAAGCCTAGAAACCCTCTCATCCCTCCTGTGGGTCCATTCCTCTATGAGGCGTCCTTAGTCATTCCAGTCTATCCTGATGGCTCTTTCTCGGAACTTAAAGATTACCTCTTAGTCTCACAATCTATCACTGTTTAATGTTTCATAGGAACCTGTCTTGTCATCATTCACTAGAATGAAAATTCCTGGAGGACAAGAACCTTATTTTACGTTTTATCTTATTCACCTGAGATGCATACCACTCATCCTCAACCTGGCACATAGTAGGCCCTCAAGAGTTATGGAAGACCAATCACCAAATGCTAGATTTAGCCCTTCATCATTAACTATTATTAGCTATTATAATTATAAGTAAAACATTTTTATAAAGTCACAGAATTAAAATAACAAATATTACACATATATATGTATGAATGTTTCTTTTTCAAGTTCTGTGTCTGGTCACAGGATACTAAAATGAGGTTGTAATATAAAGAAGAAAAGAAAGCTTATTATCATAAAACATTGCCTAGTAAACATTTTCTGTGTATCAAATCATATCAAAAAAGTTAAAGACAATCTTAATTTTAAAATTTCAATTATAGATGATCTATACTTATACCTGTTTCATGCTAGATTGCTTTTTATAATTTATAACTATATTATTTATATTTTACATATATAATTTATACTTTATATTTATTTTGTAATTATACTATGTTGCTCTTTTGCAAATTTTATTGATTCTTTGTGAACTAGGGAGGGGCTTCCATATCACATCATCATTTTTGCATTCAACAACTTAAATAGCTCATCAAATCTCCCATGCTGCATGTTGTGCATTAGATGGTTACACACTGGAGAGCTATAACTTATTTAAAGCAAGCCTAATGAAATGTGGGTGAAGGGAGACGTCGGACAGGGCAAGATATGACAAAATAATAATTTATACATTATCAAGGGTTCATGAGGGAGGGGGGAGCAGAAGGGGAGGGGGAAAAATGAGGAGCTGATGCCAGGGGCTTAGGTGGAGAACAAATATTTTGAGAATGATGACGGGAATGAGTGTACAAATGTGCTTTACACAATTGATGTATGTATGGCTTGTGATAAGAGTTGTATGAGCCCCTAATAAAGTGATTTTAAAAAAATAAAGCAATCCTAATGTACTGAGATAAAATTCAATTTTTATCACAATGCTACTAAAATATATATATTCCTAGTACTGATTTCCAGGGTCTTAGTGGTACAATGGTTAAGCACTTAGCAACTAACCAAAAGGCTGGCAGCTCAAACCCACCAGCAACTTTAGAGGAGAAAAACATACTTCTATGACAATTCCAGCCTAGAAAACTCTGAGGCAATTCCAACAGAGCTGCTATGAATCAGAATGGGCTTGACAGTACGTAACAGCAAAAATACTGATTTAAAGGTTTTTAATTTAAATATCTTTACAAAATCGATGAAATAGAAATTATTACTCTATGATAAAATTTAAACTGCAAAACAAATTTTAAAAACAAGGGCTTTATAAATGAAGCGCTATCAATAACTTGCTTATACATTCAGTGACATTTCTCTTTTTTAAGGGGGCTAATTAATTGGCTTTGGATGAATGGACTATTATCACTGTAATTGTTGCTATATTTATATATCAAGCTAATTTATACCCTTTTGTAGATTTACATTAAATACTATAAATGTCTCCCTTCCAGCATTTCCTTTTTATACTGAGCTATACCTTATTGTTGCAAATATTTTCTGTGATATTAATGCTTTTTATTTTCATACACGTCACAATTACATGTCCTTTCAGAGTCTCAACTGAAGAAGGAAGAAAAAGATAAAGCAAACTTACTTTCACATTCCAAGTCACCACATTTTTTCAGTTCTGACCACAGTTTTGTACTCCCCAGACTCTTTGTCAAGCAAATAACCACAAGAAGGAATCTGTGCCCTCGAAGATCCGCCATGCTGAAATGAACAACCAGTAGTCCAAAATGGGGTTTAAGCTGAGTAAGTTGTAGATGCGCCAGTCAAAACAAAGATTCCCTTCTCTCTTCACTAAATAGAAGACAGAAATAAAACTAGTTTTTTTCCCAACTGCTTAATAAATACATTTTTTCTTCTCTTTTAGTAACTTGACGGGGAAACACTCTCTGTTCTGAATCTGCACTGTCAGGTATCCAGATAACACATGAGTTTAATAATTAACAGAGATTTCTAGTTGGACTAATGACTCTATAAAGGTGGCTCATGTAAAACTGTCTCACTTAAAGCACCTTGCACACAGCAGGGTAGTTCTTACACAGATTTCCACAAAAAGGTAATAATTTCTTGCTACTGAAGTCTTAGGAAGATCAGTCAACAAGTGTAAACTGAGCGTTTACTGCATGCAAATACCAACACCAGTGGGGAAACTATATATATTAAATATATATATTTGAAACTCAATATATACAAGTAAATATATATATTTACTTGTAGAAACTAATAATTTGTGTTAAAAGCACAGTTTTAGAAACAAAAGTGATTTGAGAAAGTACCCTATTTTCACTCTTAAAACCCCCTCAGCATTACTATAAAGTTACAACATCTATTCCCTTACAAACAATAGTTAAAACATACTAACTCACTGCCATTGAGTCAATTCTGCCTGACAGGACCCTAAAGGATAGGGTAGAACTGCTCTAAGACTGTAACACTTTCGGGGAGCAGAAAGCCTCAATTTTCTCCTGCTCAGCAGCTGGTGGTTTCAAACTGCAGACCGTGCGATTGCAGCCTGGTATGTTCAGGTACTGATGAACTTAAATTTATGATCTCATTTAACTCTCATTCCAACTCTGAGCTAGGTAACATTATCATCCCCATTTTTTTCATCTGAGGAAACTGAGGCATGTAGATACTGGTTAAGTCACTGCCCCATGTCATTCAGTGCATCTCACTCTCTCGTTGCCATGCGGGGATTCTGACTCATAGCAACCCTATAGGACTGAGCAGAACTGTCCCTGTGGGTTTCCAAGGCTGAGTGAGCAGCTCAGGGCTTCCATGCAGGAAGCAGGGAAGAAAAGTTCAAACCTAGGCTGGATGACTCACTGCACTCTGAACCACTGTGCTTTGCCACCAAGAATCAAGTTATCTGCCACGGAAGACAGCCTCTCTGTCTCCACAGACCATTCCAAGAAGAGCAGCGACATGTTCATCAAACTTTGTGTTCACACAAATGTTTATGTGTAATAAACATAAATATATGGAGTATAATTTATAAAGTACATAAATATGCTATATATACATATGTATATTTCTGTAAGTGGACAATGAGAGAAAGAGCTCTGAAAGAATGCTCTCCAACACTGTAAGAGTGTACAGTGTGATTTCAGATGATAAGCAATTTCTTCTTTATATGCTTCTATATTGTTTGGTCTTATAAAAATCAGTAAGCATGTACATATTATTTTAAAACAACAATGAAGCCATTAAAATCAAGTCAAGTGGATGTTACTGATGCTTCAAAAAACCCAAAGTCCTCTATTGGAAAGTTTTGAGTAAAACAAGATCTCCATAGGTTAGCAGAAACCAGTCATCCTATTTCAAAAGCAATCATGTATTTTCCTAAGCCCGTTGAGGCGTGTGGATCACTTGTTTTTTAAATCATTTTATTAGGGGGTCATACAACTCTTATCTCACAATCCATACATACATCAATTGTGTAAAGCACATTTGTACATTCATTGC